GAGTGGCAATAGCCTAGGCCTTCACCTACATTGGTTCAAAGAGTCTATATCTATCCATAACAGTTGCTGTACCTGTACAAGTAGAGCTCCTTATGAAGGGGTTCGTCCAGGCAAGTACTGCCACCTTACCTATTTCTGCCAACAAGTAGTGACGTGATTTGCTTTTATTTTATTTATTACATACTGCTTACAGTCAACCTAAACACAATAGTAAGACTTAAGGCTAAATTAACTATCAGTATTAAGTAAATTACAAAAATGGATAGAATATGAAAATTGACAAAATTATAAATACAATACCATAAACAATAAATTATTACAGATTCACATTAACGAAAAAATAGATAAAATCCATTTGTTATTACATTTTAAACTAACACGTAAACCTATTACTTAATACTGCTTTCTCCGGTCAAGGGCTCCAGATAGCGACCTGCAGAAACATTCCGGTTTTGAATGGTAAGGGTACTGGTGAAATTGCAAGCATATGGGACTCGTCAACTTACGTCTCGGGGTGACGGGCGCAGTGGCAGTGTCCCTCAGATTTTGTGATTAACGCACACACTCAACTAGGGAAATTCTGTGTCGCGGGTGCCATGGACACATTTCTCCCGGCTCGGGAATCGAATCTGGGACCTCTGCGTCTGCGGCATGGTAACCGTTCGGCCACAGAGGCAGATTTAAAGCCCTGAGTGGCCCAGCAATTATTAGGGACAGGTGTGTCGCTAATCATCAGATGCCTTGTTCGTCCGTTCAATTCGTCATTTAGTATCATAAAATATATTTTATTTATTTATTTATTTTGTACAACTTACACTGACAGTAGTTTTTATAATATCCTCTTAATTGGTTAAAAATATATTTTAGAAGCGCCAATTGTCACCTGAGTTCCAGCGATCTATATATACTTCGCCCGTTACTCTGAGACATAAATATGACAAATCCCATGTGCCTGTAATTTCACCAGCACTCTTATACTTGAACCTGAACGTACTAATGGTCACATTACTGCTTACCGCAGAATTTGGTATAGTGGCAGTACTTCCCTGGACGAACTCTTTCACAAGGTGCTCTATTTTGGGATCCATTGAAGTCATGCTATGTAGTACGATGCTAAGGTCGCAGGTCACATGACTGCGACAGGCTTTATCGTGTGACGTACGCCTAGCCTTTCTTAAGTGGAGATTAATAGTCTCTGGCTTTGCAAAATGCATGGCTGATACGATTATTTCAACTGCAAGTACGGAATTTGTGTGCAAAAAAATTGGACCTGAAGTCTTTATAAATACACTAATCTATGTAAAGGGTAACATTATTGTTTTTCATTGCAAGTTTAAGGATTATAATATATGTCAAATATTTTTTTAGAACAAAAACAAAAATTATGTATATAATATAAATTAATATATTATTAATATATTTTCTTTTCAAAAAAGAATAACCTAATATTTGCCAGAGTAAATACTTTAACAGATTAAACAAAAAAAGCTATAGATGCAAATTGCATTTTAGTCTTTTTAAAGCTCTGTACTTAGAAATGTAATCCATCTTTAAACAGCAAGTCGATCTACGAAGACCAAGCTCAACCTGGTTCTGAGTATTGGAAAGTTCACAGGAAAGTTAACTTCCCTTGTATGGTGTCACCTAAGTCACGACAGAGAGAGAGTGACTTGGTATTCAAGATCTTACTTAATTGTGGGATAAACTTGAACGTCAACAGTGATTATGAAGAATTATAATTTAAAAACTAACCACCAAATAAAAAAAAAGCCAATAATTAATATAACTAGGCTACATAGTTTTTTGTTAGAAATCTTATCACGCAACGGAATTCGAAATTCTCAAAGCGGGTCAACTTGGGCATGTATGTCTTGTTCGGAAGTAATTAAACTGATCGCTTGTAATTTTGCTGAAATGAGAAATAGTTTCATATCCGACATTTGTAATTAGTAGTTTTAAAATAAAATAAAGTATTATCGATTTTATTTGACATGCAAAACCACATAACTTATAAAATAGTAAATTTTTAGAATTCGATGTATTTTTCGTGAATTAGAAACTTAAAACTTTCTCGTCTATTCATAAAATGCGCGTTAAAATACTATTTTTTAAATGATCATAAAAGTTTAAAGGAAACAAGCACTTTTTTATGTAAAGTTAACTAGTGGAAATAATAATATAAACTGCACGAACTTTTTGGGCCTTTCTGGTCCTTTTTCGATATTGTCATAGATGTGTTACACAGGGAGGCACTGCTCGCCTACTTTTGAATTACTCCCTTCAATGACTGATATTTCGCTCTTAATACTAACAAAAACTTCTATTGGTACCACATTGTAACTTACGTTGGTTATTTTTCTTTATTATGTAATTGTCGACTTGTAAAGAAGTCTCATTTCATTTCTCCGTTTAACTATCTTTGCCATGTGTCGAATTTCGACGTCATTCTTGCTCGAGGCTTTTTCCAAAACCTGTTGAACGGAAAGTGAAAATGCAAGCTACGCTTTAAGCATTTAGTTACTTAGTAGGTACTCTACGTATCTCTAAAACCATCTTGGCAAGCCGGTTTCAAAGACGCTTCTATATAATTGAAGGTCAAGTACAGTCGCGTACCTGGATGGATGTATTATACCAATTGCGAAATTACAACCAGAATAATCTCTGAAGACGGTGGTTGACTTAGAAGAAAAAAAATTCTCATCATCCATCATTATCTGCAGCCTGATTTCACCCACTTCTCGGTATAGGCCTCTCGAAGTTTGTGCCATCCACCATGATCCCGTGCTAGCCGCATTCATTGACGCCCCGCGACGTGTACTATGTCGTCGACCCGCCTTGCAACTGGGTGCCCGACGCTTCTTTCGCCCATCCTCGGCCATCAATCGATGTTTTGCTCCACCTGTCATCAACTTGCCTTGCTAGGTGTCCAGCCTAACACCATTTGAGTTCCATGATCCGAGTTCCAGCATCCTGGACTTCATTCATTCGTCGTCGGATCTCAATGTTCGGAACTCGGTCGGAACAAGGCTGATGCTGAGCATGGCGCGCTCCATGGCCCTCTGTGCAACTCTCAACCTGTATACAGTCTCCTGCGTGAGCGTCCATGTCTCGGCACCATACGTCATGGAGGGCAGAACACACTGATTAAACAAGCGGGTCTTCAGATACTGTGGAATCTTATCTGATTTAAGGATGTCATCTAACTTGCCAAACGCAGCTTATCCCAGCTGGATTCTTTTTGATATCTCCTGAGGCTGATGCTCTTTGCCAAATAATAGAACATGTCCGAGATAGACGTACTGATCGACTCCCTCCAGCCTCTCATTTCCCACCGTGACAGTGGCATTTGAGGGACTGGAGAAGTTCGCCATAATCTTTGTTTTGGACATATTCATCCTCAGGCCAACTCTCAAAGAAGAATCATAGAGTTGTTCCAGCATCCTTTGGACATCGTCGAAACTTTCTGCAACTAGCACGAGATCATCCGCAAATTTTAGGTGAGACAAATGGACACCATTGTTGTTAATGGCGTGGTTATCCCATTTAAGGGTTCCTGAAGAGCTGCTGTGAAAGCTTAGAAAATTTTTCTACACAAATCGAATTTAAGTTCGCACTTTCACAGACTCTATTGCACATACAAATACTTACATATTATGTACATTTGCTATTTTCTATAGCTCTAGTATGTGACGCTAGAATGCGCTTCAAATTAATTTGTTATGGTGAAATTAAGGTCAACGTTTCTAATCACGGACACCAAAGACGTAACCGTTATTGACTTTTATGCATGTGCGTAATTGCATACAAAATGCATGCAGACAAAACAAACTCTATCTGTTTTTGTTATCAGTCATCGATATGGTAACCTTTTATGTTGTTCATTGCTCATTGCACACTTTGAAAATAGAGGTTACCTTATTCGCTCCTAGTTTGAAACAGTGGATAGCAGTGAGATTTGAAATTGTATAGGCGAAATGTACACTAAAGGGCGTGTGCTCTATTCTTGTATCTATAAAATTAAGTTTTAGTGAATGCCGCAATGTACCAGTGTCTAGTGCTGAGTCCTTGATTTGTTTATGCGGTAAAGTCCGTGCACTTACTGGCACAGGAAACTTAACAGGTTTTCATGTCTCTAGGTTTGCTGCTATACTTGGATTTTTACGAACGAACTTTACGAACAGAAAACGAAATTGAAATGCTTCTTTTTGATAATAAATGACATAAATATATAAAGAAATGTAAAAACAGAAGTGAATTTTTTTCAAAAATAAAATAGGTACAAGCTTTTAGAATTCAGTAGTAAGAAAGAAACAGAATATTTGTACGTGACGTCACAACTCTCGTAGTGCCATTCCCTCGCCGTACCAAACACTTAGAAGATCGTTTTGCTAAAAAGGGATGGAGAATCGTTGTCTTTAGCCGAGATTTCGAGAAGCATTGGTATTATCGTATGAATAAAAGAGCAGTCTTAATTATTGTACTTTAGAGGAGGATGATGATACATTCTTAATTGTAGAATATTTAAAATTCTAATAAATAAAAATAATAGCTATTAAGGTACCTAGCTTAGTGAAGAAAGAATTTTAATATCTTTCACACAGGTGCAGCCAAAAAGCCATTAAAACCAAATACAAAAATCTGTAGTAAGCACATAGAGGAATTCGTAAGGGTGCTGACTAGTTCCGCAGTCCAATCGGGAGAGCAACAGCCCGCGTTAAAATGTCACCCGTTCTAGTCCAGCTGACCGAAGGAATTTTTCTTTGAGTTTATTCAGTTATGACAACAAATTAAAGGAGTACTTTCCCAATAAAATCATAAATAAATATTGCAAATAAAAATAAGTATAATGAAATGTTGACTAGAAAATACTTCTCAATGTTGAATTAAAATTATCCTAATTTTCAATGATCAGCAAGTTTTTTAGTTGACTGTAGAATGCAAAGACGGTTTATAGTAAGTATGGGAATCTGTCTACGAAATTTATACCTTTTTTATTACAGGTAACTACTCAGTAGAACATGTGGACAAAGTGTGTGTATCTCTTCGAGAACAATATGGAAAATGCGTTAAGATGGCGGGTCTGCTCGGCCGACCAGATATGCTGTTTGTATTTGATGCGGCAGAGGTGGAACGCGTGTTTCGAGGAGAGGATGCCGCTCCTCACAGGTCAATGTTAATAGATTTTAACTAGAATTTAAACACGAATATCCAAATATAACGAAACAAGAAGATATTTAACATATTAAGTACAGTCTATGCCCTAAGTTATAGTTGAAAATTGTATTCAATATTTAAGAATTGTACTTATATCTTAAAGATCAAATTGGCATAAAAATGTTTTTTAAAATGTCATTAATTAAAGATACATCGCAGATCGCAGGTTAGAGGTTAAGTTTGCTTAATACTTTTGTTTACACTTATTTACTCCGAACCAAATCTTCAGTAAGGGGGACAAGTATCCTAAGAGTGAATTCAACCTCCAATAGCTTTGGTTCCGCATAACAGTGAGTGTCTTGAATCAATCGCTTTAGTAAAATTGAGAATATACACTGATTAATTAGTATACAGTGTGGAAATTCGATTTCTAAAAATTTTCACGATGGAAAAAAAACGGGAACCTTCCTCGAAATTCTATAAGAAAACCGCTGTATTCAATGGGTACTTTACATAGTATACCAAGGTTTTGTTTTATATCAACTGAACTAAATGCAACACGTATAAGTATATGATATACATTTTTCAAATGGTTTTCATTTAGTTTGTTAAAAATAAATTCTGAAATAAAGCCATTGTTTCTGTCGCTCGACCCAAGCAAAATGAACTGTATTATTACGGGAAAATCGGCAGATATAAATTTAACTTGTGCGGTGTGTTTTATTCTTGCATATTTTGGATTTTCATCAAACATAACATCACATCTGTTATCCACTGCGGTAGGCAGATATAGAAGATACTGCTAACTATTTACTCTTTTAAGACAGTGATTTAAGCTGCAAATATTTTAGATAAATCTTCAATTAAAATAATTGTGGTTTTTGACCATTACGAGCTAATACAATTACAATTGAGATGCATTTAAAATTAATTTCAATTTAGATTTTGTTTTAAAAACGAAAACTAAATACTGATTACTTCAGTCCGAAGAAAATAAATAAAACCGATTATAATTTATAAAAACTGTAGAATGTGACTTTACAAGCACATTACCGAAATATTTTTGTTTTAACCTTTGCAGACCCTCCATGCCGTCCTTGAATTATTACAAGCATGTTCTACGAAAGGATTTTTTTGGAGCAGAAGAAAATTGTGCCGGAGTTATTGCAGTGTAGGTACAAAAGGTATTTTATTTCGAAGTAAGAAACAAATGAACTACTTATTTACTTAATTACAGGCACGGCGACCCGTGGGCTGCTTTTAGGACCAAAGTATCCAGAGTAGCGCTTAGCGCTGGTGCTGCTTCTCAATATCAAGTACCTGTTGCCGAAGTAGCAGATTGTTTTGTAAATAGGTATAGTATGGTACCTACTTAGTAAGTATAACTAATATGTATATAATGTTGTAAATTAAATACGAATTACGGGTATATATTTTGAATAATCTTTTACGTGCTTTTTTTATGTAACTTGCTGCATCAAAATGTACATAACGTGGGAAGTGATTCACACCCAGACAATATTATTCTTATGATCATGACACGCATTGTTTTACATTCTATTACTATAAAGCGTGACACATACACGGGCGCGAGACGGGTAGACCTGCTGAAAGAAAGAAAGAAAGAAAGAAAAATAATTTATTTGGCACCATTTTACAATAAATAATACAAAACAAACACAATCATACAGTATATGTTACCAAAACGGCCACCACTTAGCTTTTTGTAATGAGACGTTGAAGAACGCCTCATTACGCTGGTTTTCAGTGGCGCCATAAATGGACAAAAAGAAAGATGGCGCCTCGTCCAAGCAGGCGGTAAGATAAAAATAAAACAAAAAAGAAATATAAAGATTAGGTATAAAACTTAATTACAAATATAAATCAAAACTTAAAATATTAAACAAAACCATAAAGTAATCCTAACATAGATACATAATAATAAAAATGAAATAAATACCAAAAATGTGATTATAATGTAGTGTAAGTGAGGTGAGTATACGTAGTGTAAGTGAGGTGAGTATATGTAGTGTTAGTGAGGTGAGTATATATAGTGTAAGTGAAGTGATTAGTGTTAACACATTGTACAAATTGGCTCTGATCACTTTTTAAGAACTTTGCAAGCAATGCACGACTACCTTATGTAATGAGATTATAATTGAGTTGATAATAAAAACTTCTTATAGGCTAATTTAAAAGAGGCAACAGATTTGCTGCGGCCCCAACCCGGCTCGCGCCCGACCCGCACTCACATAGGACATATACTTGCTTAGGCCTGAAGCATGCAATTATATTTAGTATTTATTTTAACGTACTTTGGGCGTTTAGCGCTGTTCTCATTGTAGTTTGCTAGGTTTTAGGAGGATATATGTGTTTTAACATTTTATTATATATTAAAATGGTTTTCTTTGCAGATTACGCAGTATAAGGAACGAATGCTTAGAAACTCCAGAGGATTTTTTAAACGAAGTACATAAGTGGTCATTGGAATGTAAGCTGTGTCCTTATGTACCTATATTAGTGCAATGCAAAATTTTATGCATTCTTATTAGGAAAATTATTTTGTTTTAAAATTTCAGCTCTCGGGCTTATTGCTCTGGATACACGGTTAGGCTGCTTCGAAGCAAAAGAAGGATCGGAAAGTCAACGGCTCATAGACGCTGTCAACACATTTTTCCTTTGCGTTGGACAGCTTGAATTAAAAGCTCCTTGGTGGAGATTGTATCCAACAACAATGTTCAAACAATATGTTGCCGCACTTGATAATATTCTCAGGTACCAATTTTAAGGACGCTATGCTTGTAGCTGATTAATATATATTGAAGTATGTATGATCGTAATAGTTGATGTACAGATCTAATAATACTTACGCCTAAGCTAAATATTTTTTTTATAATATCGAGTAACGGGAGGAACAAGTCGTGAGCCTGTTGTTAAGCGACACGGCTATTCATTTATAGTTGCAATTAAAGATTTAATCACAAAGATCTGAGTATGTCCATGGCACCCGCGATACATTTTTTATTAATTAACTAAGATTATTATTTATTTATTTTTTTTATAATAACGCACACACTCAACATGGCCTCTCACTAGAGAAACCCTGTGTCGCGGGTGCCATGGACATACACATAGACAACCACAAATTACACCCAAACTCACGAGAGAAATAAATGTGGGCCATACAAATATTTCTCCCGGCCCGGGAATCGAACCTGGGACCTCTGAGTGGCAGACCGGCATGGTAACCGTTCGGCCATGGCGGCAGTTATATTTGGAGGCAGTTATATTTTTATTGAATATCACGATATTTTAGTACCATGACATTTAATTTTTTTTGGGAAATTACTGCACTAGCTTCTTATAATTTATTAATACAAAGATCGAACACAAAAAAAATTTCATGCGATCCGGTTGAACTCGAACCAGCGCCTTCACCATACCGTGACCGGCGCTCTCCTAACTGAGCTACAAACCGAACCAATAGACCGAATTTTTCTATAGGTACATGTGATTTTTGCAGATCTTTATAATTGGTTTTTAACGGCTCTTTGACCGTAACGCCACCTGTGAGAAATCTGTCATTATAACTAAAAATATGCTTTCTTTTTAGCATAACTCTGAGTCACGTGGAAAGAGCTCTAGAAGAATGTCAAGCCAACGGCGAAAGTAAATCACTGCTGCAAGATTTAGTCGTAGCAGCTGGACCCAGAGTCGCGGCTGTCGCAGCACTTGACATGTTCCTCGTTGGTATTGACACGGTGAGATAATATGAGTAGTAATCTGAATACTTGCTATTGGGTGTTAAAGGCTTTTTCACCTCACTAGCCCGGAAAGGCTTTTTTCTCATTAGAAACTTGCGCGCAAAAGCGTTTTATCCACGCTAGCGTGGAAAAGGTTTTTGCAATTCGACCTTGACGATGGACTGTGGTGCACCTAACTTTAATCTGTCGATGAAAAAAACGACACAACGACACATTCAATTATGCGAAGTTGTCATACAGTATTCATGTAATATAAATCCGTTGCCATATTTTGTTATTTATTCTTATTACTGTAGCCATTAAATTGACAACGATAACTAATTTTGTTTATTAAAACCGATTTGTTATGTGTTATATAAAATAATAATAATAATAACGCAATACTCAACGTAGCGCCGCACTAGGGAAACCCTGACATACTCATAGACAACCACAAATTACACCCAAATTCACGAGAGGAATAAATGTAGGCCGTGCAAATCCCGGCCCGGGAATCGAAACTGGAACCTCTGCGTGGCAGTATAGTAACCGTTCGGCCACGGAGACTGTTAAATATAGTTCAACTGTTTTTCTTTCATCTACCATTTTCCTCGCAGCAAAGTTGTTTTGCGTTTCGTGCCTTGAAACTCTCGCTACGCTCAGGATTCTATTTTTGTACTATGAGCGAATCTCCAAGCTCGATTTCCAATCTTCGCTTGCCCAGTTGTCAATACAAGCGCTCGCGTCAAACAACAACTTTGCAGCCTTGCATAACAAATAACTATTTTGCCGTAGCGCCACCTGTGAGAAACTTTAAGTCTGATAAGGAATGTCGCTATATTTGATTGAATATCACGATATTTTCTCTACCACGATTTTCACATATTTTTTATTATTATTATTGATACAAAAATGGACACTAAGATCAAACAAACAGAAGGAAAAAGTCTTTCGATCCGTTGATCTGCAGACACTCTAAAGAGGAGGGTTTCTACTAAAATTCAGGTTGAAGTTTTAATACACATTAGAACATCCTTCTCTGATAAAAACGTTACATTGCGGTATTTTAATATACCTTAACATGATTCGAACATGGTTCGTTTGTCCAGGCCCCCTGCAAGTAATTGAACCCAGAACTTCCTACATAGCAGGCAAGCGGTTACTTATCAGTAGTCCGAAATGACATTTTCCAGAAATAACGTTTGCTCGAATTTTCATGACGTCGAAAGTAATTTTGAGAGGAAAATGTTTTTTCTTTTAAATCTAACTTAACCTAACCTAACCGAACCTAATCGTGTCTTTGCAATAAACATCTAACGTATCTTGAAAGAACAACGGTTTCGTTATAATTCGGTTTTCGGTGTAGTGAAAATTCGAACAAACGTTATTTTGAAAAAAAAAAATTTCTGGTTGTAATAGGCTACCGAGACAAGCATTATCCCGACTAGGTTACCACTGCATTTTTATAAATTGTGTATATTCAGTGCAAAACGCCTCACAAAAATGTTCGAGCAATTCCTCCGCTTACCAGTTGTGCTAAAGTGAAAATTTATTTTCAGACTTCAAATGCTGTTGCATCAACGCTATATCAACTTTCATTACGTCCTAATGTACAAGAAAAAATATACAATGAAGTTACCAAAGTCTTACAAGGAAGATCTATGAAACCTGGTGATGTCAACCAGATGCCTTATTTAAAGGCCTGCGTTAAAGAAGTGTTAAGGTAATAAGTTTTTTTTTGTTTAATACTAATAACATATTAGACAATGACTTTACATTTTATTTTCAGAATGTTCCCTGTTGTTATTGGTAATGGACGACAACTTACCAAGGAGACAGTTATTTGCGGTTATAATATTCCAAAAGGCGTAAGTATCTAATTGAAATAATTAAACTACGATACATTAATTGCATGGAAATTATAATAATTAAGGTTCAAATTATATTCCTAAAATGAGATCAGATTATACTTTTTCAAATATTAATACGAGCTAATTTAAATTTGAATATTGCGTAATAGTCTTGACAACGTTTATTTTATATCCTGCAGATTTTTTCTTCTTCGAAAGCTATTTAATTTTTTTCAGACACAAGTTATCTTTCAACACTACGTAATGGGTAACAGTGAGGATTTCTTCTCGAACGCGTCGGAATTTCGTCCCGAGCGATGGCTTCAGAGGTCTCCCTTGCAGAGCCACCACGCCTTCGCGTCACTTCCTTTTGGTTTTGGCAAGAGAATGTGTTTAGGAAGACGATTTGCTGAGCTGGAGATGCATACTGTTATATGTAAAGTTAGTATATTTGGGTACCTACTATGAATTGAAAGGAGCAGTTGTCGTTAGAGACCGCGTATATATATATATATATATATATATATATATATAAAATGTTACTTCTTTCTTGAGATCGCTAGGGGCGCTGTACATTTTGCCGTACGAAATTCGCTCTCTGTTGGTGTAATAAGGCTACATCTGCAAAATCTCAACTTTCCGAGAGAGAATTTTATAGAGACTATGGGCCATAGAGAAAGATTTCCAAAGAAAATGGTAAAACTATATTGGTATAAAATACAGGTGTTACGATAACAAATTTTTCCTTGATGTAGTGTGTCGGTGGACAGTTGGTAATGTACTACATAAAATAAAGTATTAATGTCATAGAAAATGAAACTATTTTTCCAGATTTTAATCGCGTATATTTATTTTTTCAAACAAACCAACGTTTCGGGCCCTTTACTGGTCCCATGGTCACGGTTGACTGAGGTGGTACAGTCATCAACCAGTTATGTCTAATATTAATGCAAACCACCCTATTTGTTCACAATACTTACAAAAGTTATTAATTAAATACTTTAATTTTAATTTTACAAAGCACATTCCAATATACGCTACATACGATTTACAAAATTATTTTATTTTAACAATATGAATTTTTATTAAGTTAAATTTATTATTAATTAATAATGGAAATTAGAATAAATTAAAACATATTAATCAGTACTGCGGTCTTATGTCTGTTTGGGATTTTTAATCAGAGGAAATACTGGATCCCGAACTGTGGTACGGAGAAACCATCTTCCCTGACGAAATAAGGATGCTTTTTTAATTTCAATGGTCTCCCGCAGCATCCTGGGTAGATAACGGACTTCTTTTGCAAGGACCTGCGGTTTGTCAAACTTCACTGAATGTGTAGAAGGTGTGCGATTTAAATCCGGAAGAATAGTTTCATTTCCTATGTGTAACAATCGCGATAACTTAAGAACTCGATATATTCATTACGTGTTTAAATTGAAGTATGACACGTGGTCAAAATGGGTCGCGTGCGCAGACTTATACCGTAGAATGTATGAGACCATAAATACTCCATAATTAATGAAATTAGTTGATAATAATTAGCGGAGAGAAGAGCTGTGTTTTAGCTTCTGGTAGCAGTGGAGCTCCTTGTAAAAAGGTTTGTTCAGGGAACTACTGCCCCCGTACCTAAGTAATCTGAGCATTATTGCGGTCCGGTTTTGAAGGGTGAGGGTACTGGTGATATTACATGCCCATGGGACTTGTTAACTTATATTATGTGATGGTGACTGGCCCAGTGGTAGTGCCCCGAAGATCTTTACGTTTTAAAGCTCTGAGTGGCACTGCAAGTAGTAGTTGCTTAACACCAGACGCGCGACTTGTCTATCTTGTCACTTTTTATGAATATTCAACAGATGTACCTACTACAGACTCAAAGTAAAATTTTAATTATTCTCATTTTCAGATGGTGCAGGCTTTCAAAATGGAGTACCACCACGAGCCCTTAGACTACCACGTTCATCCTATGTACACTCCAAACGGTCCCATACGTTTGAAACTTATTGAACGATAAAATATTAATACCATATAGAATAGCTAAACAACACAGTTAGAGGCCGTGTAACTTTATAACTATGCAAACAATTTTGTAAGAATGAAGTAATTAATATAAATATTATATTAAAAGTTTAAAAACTATATTTACTCACCTAGTTTAAAATACAGGCTGTTAAATAATTGACAACAATAATTTGAAACACTCCTTTGGTACAGTAATTAGAATTGGATTTAATGTATCGAATTGCCAAACAGAATAGTATTTAAATCATAAAAAAATGTACAATATTTTTCTATGAAATCTTTTTCCGGAGGCTACTTAAGCTTGCTGCAGGGCATTTACGTCTCACACTGGGCGTAAATATCACTATTCTTCCACAAAAAACGTTGGTGTAATCATCCCTAAATCGAGGGCTATAAATCCCACAATCCCGAATTAAATAATAAATAAAATAAATTAGACAACATCACATACGATGTTCTAATTCCATAATAAGTATCTAAAGCACTTGTATCATGGAAATCAGAAACCACGACGGTACCACAAACACCCAGACTGGAGACAATATATATATAATTATATGATAATTATATAATTTTTATAAGGAAAATTTAAGTCATATTGACATATTTGGGATTTCTTCACAAAGTTTTAGGATAAGGGTATGAGAAACGTTATTGTAACAACAAATGTAGTAAATGAAACTATTTTTCCGGATTTAAATTGACCTATAAAGGACCTGTAAAGGGCCCGAAACGTCGGTTTGTTTAAAAAAACAAATATACGCGATTTAAATTCGGAAAAATAGTTTCATTTCCTATGCGGTACAATCGCGTAAACCTAAGAACTCGATATGAACAAATGTAGTGATAAAATTACTTAGTATAAAATGTTTTAGTTTTTTTTCCTATTATATATTCTTCAAGATTCTTTGTTGCATGTGACGTTGTTTTGGTCATTATTTTAATTTAGTTCTTGTTAATGGAACTCCAGGTCTGTATGTGTATCAATTTTGGTTTATTATCTGTCTGTTGATGACTGTTTGTTTCCTTGTAATAAAAAACAATAGAAAAGTTAGTTTTCTACATTGACCCGCCCGGGTATCGTGCCCGGGACCTCAGAGACGGCGACACAACGAAAACCTGTATGCAAGTACTCGAAGTTGTCTCTCGAAATCGCGGGTAAAACTTAATAAGTTGCACAGTTTTAATTAAGTATTTGCTACGTTTTCATTCTACTGGCGTTAATATTAAGTACTTTTTCGTTAGTTTCTAAAATGATAAATAATGTAAATGCGACACTACTACTTCTAGATGTTATTAAATTAAATATAGTGTCAAGTACTTATGATTTACACAGGGTTGTTGTTAAAATACTAACAATCTTGCAGGACTATATTACAGTAATTTTGAGGTAAGTTTTTCGTACTCAATTTTGGGGACAATTTTTATTATTTAATTACTCGAATATATCATCGTGAAATATTATAGAATATTTCAGGTTACCACAATCAAATATTAAATAATACTTCATGATGATATTCTATAAATATTTAAATAAAAAGAAATTGTCACCAAAGTTGAGTACAAAAAACTTACCTGAAAATTATATACCCATTACTAACATCGTAGACAACAAACTTGTTCCATGATTTTTTACAAAACATAATAAATTTACATAAAATAAACTTTAAGTTTTTGTTGTATTATCTGACACTTTTTAGATCTGTATTTGGCAGCAGGGTATGTTTAGTCCAGGTCCCCCCTTCTGCACAGAGTTATTACCGTTTAGAGCGATCTATTTAACATATTTATTTTTGTATGAAAGTCAAAACCGATTAATTATTAAAAGGCATGGAACAATTAAAGCTGTTGTTTATGATCTTAGAAATAAAATCCTGCTATAGTCCATTAACTTACTAAATGTAAACAATCTTAACTAAATGTAAATTGAGATATCTATTTAATGAAATATACATTTATAAAATGATTTTTACTTACCTTCAAATACAAATACTGTTTCATATGAAATTGTATGCCTATTTTTTATACCTATTGATTTGTAAAGTATATGTTTCAATAAAAAGATACAAAACATTTAGTTAACTACCTAAACTAATGGACTATAGGTTGTTAATATTTTAAAAATAACCCTGTGTATACATTATCCACCTTCATAGCTGTTGTTTATATTTTCTATGTTTACTACTATGTTATTAAATAAGTTACCAACTTATGTGTAGCTGTAGATGTGTAATAATAATGTGATTGTAGTGTGAACGTGTGAGTGCGTTTGTGTGCGAATGTAGTTTACTAGTAATATGGATATTTCATTTAAATACTATATGTCCTATTTAAGTTTCTAAAAGCACATAATAAATTGTATTTTCCAATAATTTGTTTAATGAAATTTATTTATACATTTGTAAACAAAAGACATTTGTGGTGTCATATTTCTTTTTTCCGTTCTGTAGTCAGTTCCGTGGTCTGTGGTTCCAATCTTATTTGCTGTGACTTAAGACATAAGTAGCGAAAATTACGCCAAAGCAATTACGCCCGTGTATAGAGGAATTAGCGGGAGCTCGGAATTGCATATATAGTGGTATTTGTGAGTTTACATATGAATTTGTGGTTGTACTTGTGGTTTTTATGCACTCGCTAATATCACTATATAATTATTTTTTTTTAATGTCAGGCCAAAAAGTCGTTGGAAACCAAATACAAAGATCCGACAACAAGTACACAGAAGAATTCGTAAGTCTGCTGAATCGATCCGTGACTTCGTTGGCATAGCGTCTGGCACGGTTTGCTAGAAGACGTCTGTCGGATCGAAGGAATTTTTTCTAAGTGTTCGATCTTCGTATTAACAATTATAATGACCATATAAGTACTTATACTTTTATACAGAAATAAACAGTTTAAATTTAACATTTATTTTATTTTAAATATAACCTGATAGATCGTTCGATCACTATTACGTAATCTAGGGCTCGACTGCTCACTGCTTGAATATGCCTTACCTCTAAAACGTAAAGTTCAAACGGCACTGTATCAAGCTAATCATTGACGGATTTTGTTCCGTTGCCCTTTAAACAAAAGTACTTATGTGATGTGGTGTTGACATACAAAGATAGACATCATAGTCAAACAGCAAGGGCCTGCAACCTAATATTTGAAGAAGCATTTGCAACGTTTTTGGTAGCAGTAGAGCTCTACTGCTCCTTCTGAAAGAGTTCCCTCAGGGAAGTATTACCAACTTACCTATTTCTGCCGCCAAGAAATAATGAGAGCATTACTAAGGCTCCGTCCCACTCTCTAGTGTATCGCCAACAGTGCAAACGCCCAGATAAGTCTTTCATTTATACTACAATCTTTGTCGCAAAGTAATTTTCATACGAGTATCTATAAGAGTATCTATACGAGTATCTTAAAATCAGAAAAATTAAATTTACACAAGGACAAGGTGAAGATGGCCGAACAAGTGAAAGATCTAGAGTTAGATCTTCAATCGCGAACTAAAGACCTACTTTCTACGCAGAAACAACTAGAAGAACTTTCAGCTGCAACTAATGAGCTTTTAAAGCTGGGTACTGAGTATAGAGAACTTACTCAAGTCCTTCTTCACGATGAGCTTAGTGAAACAAATGGTCCAGTAGAAACAAATCAGACTCCGTCCCCACCACCCACATCATCAACGCAAACAACACGTCCATCGTATGCCAGTGTTGCTGCAGGAAAACGTGTCTGCTCCACTACAACTGTTGAAGATCGACACAGTCAACGGTCAACCAAGACTATTAGAACTCCGACCAGGCCATCCAGAAGAACGGTAGTTTTTTCTGATAAAATAGGCGTAGGACTAGGCCACCACCTTAGTAACCACTTAAAACAAAGGGTAGTCAACTATTGCTATCCAGGAGCTACTTTTAGTCAAATTATTACACTGTTAAGTGATTGCAACTTTGATAAATATACAACAGTGATTCTTATAATAGGTGATAGTACTAACGACGTTATATTTTGTTTTGATATTAATAAGTTCGTAAGGAACTTCAATCTTTTTGAGGATAATTTACTTTTACCCCTAAGGTATCTAAGACATAT